GCCAAGACCTGCAGCTTCTGCAGCCAGGCCTGTGGCTCAAAGCTTGGACCCTTCAGGCACCTGAAGACCCATCCATGAGCCACAGTAGAGATCCTCCTCCCATGCAGGGATTGCCAATAATGGTATTAAGCACCCCTTAACCAAGCCCTTCCTCACAGGGTGCATGACATGGGGATGATCTCCTAACAGGGTGACATCCCATCTGCTTCTAGCCGCCCAAGGAGGGCATTGCTCCTCAGCTGCAGCCGCTTGCGGTCGGCTGGCTGCATGCAAGTCCCTTCCAGATCCGCTGCCTCTGGGCTGCTGGCTCGGCTGCGCTAGTATGACCTACATTCTCCGTTCCTGGATGCCTGGCTGCAGGAGACAAATGCGTGCGGCTCAGTAGCAAGCGCCCCACCTCGGTCTGCGCAGCCGGCCCCTGTCTGCCGTGACGAGCTCCGGTGATTTTGGTATCCCCTGCACGGGTTACCAGCAATGATCCTCTCCGCTCTTCCAGATCGCTGACCCGGGGTGGAGCGGGCTTAGCTGAGCGCCAGTCCACGCAGGCGACTTGGACCTGGCTGGGTCCCTCCTGCCGGCGAGGGGACGCGCCGGGGCAGGGGCCTCTACTCACGCAGCAGCAAAGCAGGGGAGCGCGAGGGCTGCAGGGCTGGACACACGGGCACGTGCATGCACCTGTGCCCTTGCTCACCCGTGTGCCGGGAGCCTGCAGGCACACCCAGTCACCAGCATGCTCAGCTGTTCTGTATGCCCTGGAGCGCACACATGCACACCTGCTCTTGCTGACTTTGCCCCCCCCCCACCCTCATGCACGTGCACCCTCCTGTTTACACTTAGATGTGCACACGTGCTCACCCTCCCACACACCTGTGCACACACACATGTACTTGGTCATTCTCATACAGGTTCACAGATGTGTTCTGCTCTTACATGCACACATTCGCATGCGCACTCATTTGTTCTCATACCAGCTTGCAGACAGGCTTTATTCTTGCACATGCGCGCGCGCACGCACACACACACAGATGCATACACACCCATATGCACTCATTCATTCTCATGCAAGTGCATAGACATGCTCTGCTCTTGCACACGTGCACACACGTGCATTCATTCTGATATAGTTGCACAGACATGCTCTGTTCTCACGCACGTGCACACAGACGTACACGCACGTGAACTCATTCATGCTCATGCAGTTGCACAGATGTGCTCTGCTCATGTATGCGCAGACATGTACACACACATGCACATTCTTATAGACATGCTCTGCTTACGCATGTACACACATGCACACATTCACATACAGTTGCACAGACATGCTAACACATGCACACACACACACACACACGTTCACTCATTCATTCTCATACAGATGCACAGACACGCTCTGCTCTTGCATGCATGCATGCATGCACACATGTACACACGCACATCTCATCGTAGCACGCTGGTAGATCCACCCTCCAGGGCCAGGCCTGCTCCCATTTACCCCCGGGGGTGCCCGGGCACTGCCCCCTCCCTGCCGCCGGACCCCGCAGTGCTCGGCGCTTGGCAGGCGGGTCACGTCTGCCTTTCCTCGCCCCCCTCTGCCCTTCCGCTCAATCCAGCCTCTGTGCCGCAGCCCCGGCCCCTTCCCCCAAACTCTCTGTCCCTTTTCTTCTCCGTCCCTTTTCTTCTTTGGCTCCGGCGTCTTCAATGCCTGTCGGCTGCAGCCCGGACGCCCACCCCTCCCCCAGCCCGGCGCAGGCCTGGGGCCCTCCCCGCCACCTTGGGGTCCCTTGGCCTCTACCATCAGGCCTGGGAGCTGCTTTAGTTGGGGGCCTGGGGGCTGCCCTGCAGTGAGACCCCAAGGTCCCTGGCCCATCCCAGCCCCTCTCCTGCTTGCTTCCCGAGCCACAGGGAGAGTCTGTGGGGCTGCTCTGTCTTGCACCAGCTAAACAGCTGGCCCCGGCGCCTCCAGCCAGGTGCAGATGTGCCAGCCCCTGGTGCCTCTCTCCTAGGAGGGGAGGGGAGGGAAGGGGGGCTAGGTCCTGCTGCAGGCCTGGCTCTGCCGCACGTTTCTGCAGCGCGCTCCGCGGGGTGGGGACCGGGTTTCTGCAGCATGCTCCGGCTGCGGGAGCCCCAAGCTCTGCGTGCAAATCCTACCCACCCATCACAGGCTGTATCTGCAGGCAGGACCCCGGGACCTCGCCAGCCACCTGCCTGCTTGCAGAGGCACCAGTGGCTCCCAGAGACACCCAGTCCCTGCCCACGACGGGCTCTGCTGCGTCCCTCTGTGCTGTGGATCTCCCTCCACCTGTCCGTCCCCGGGCTGAGCCTCCCGTCTGCCCATCCGTCCCCTTTTCCCGTAGGGAAGCTCCTCAGCTGGTACGAAATTGGGGCAGCGCAGCCAGCAGTGTTGCCATAACACTTCCTACGTCTGCGCCCCCGTCTCACGCAGGCACTGCTGCGGGCTTCCCGCGTGCTCTGCCATGTGCCAGCCACGCGGCACCTCGCATCGAAGCCCGACCTGGGCCCTATGGCCCCACGCGCCGTGGGGTTTAGGGGCGGCAGGCCCCACTCTTGCAAAGGGGCAGTGGTTGGGGTCGCTCATCGCTCCTCTCCGCTCCTGCTCTGCAGGCGAGGTGCTGTCAGAGCAGCGTGCCGGGGAGTTAACACCTCATTGAGACGCTCCCGGTTACTGGCGCCGGCTGGGTTACACTTGGCCGGCATTTCCACGCCGCTTCCCTCAGCTACGTGGGTTAAACAAAGAAAGGTTTTTCTAACGAAGCTGCACGTAGTCGCTCCGGGAGCACCACACTGCTGTTGCCTGGGAGGTCCCTTCCGGCCCTGCTTCCCCATGCGTTGAGCCCTGCTCACAGGCCTTTGCTACAGCTTGGCCCACTCCACGCTGCCACCATTTCCCCGTTTCCAAAGGGCCCCCACGTTACAACCAGGATCCTGGGAGGGATCCACCAGCCTGGGACCCCTGACCTGTCCCTGGCGGAGGAGGGTCGACCCTGCTCTGAAACCACCCCCCCCCCCCCCCCGATGACGGAGGTGCCCCTGGGGTTGAGCCCTGTGAGATCAGACGACACCAGCTCCTCCATCACGTGCTGCCGAGCGACGTGAAGTCTCTTGTCAAGATGTGTTAATTTTGATCCCCCCGCCCCGCTTTCTGGGCCCGGTGCGGCCAGACCGGTGGTGACTACGGGTGGGTGGAGGAGCATAAAAATAGGCTCTGCGCGGACTTCCAAGCTCCCCAAAACCATCTCCAGGAGTGGCACGGCCGCACCGTGGAGCTGGAGGGACGACCCCCAGGGTCCTCGGTTTGTGGCCGGCCGGCCTCGACCCCCTTCGCTGCCGCTCTGGGTCATCTCCTTGACTCCAAATTTGCTGTCGGGCAATGCTGGAAGCGCCTCCGAGGACGCGGGTGTCTCCATGTCCCTGGGGCGGGGGGCTGTCCGGCCCCAGCCGCCTTGCTCAAGCCAGCTCCGTCCCCCGTGGCGCCCCTGGGCCAACCCCCGCTGCCTCCTGCGGTGCCAGCGCAGCGCGGGCTGGCTGCGGCCGCAGCTGGAACAGCTGG